AAAAATGATATCTATAGAAAAACAAAGCCCTCTACCTATCTCACCACATGGCACCTGGGAAGATTACATCATATAGCAAGGCTCAACCATGCCTGGGGCTCTGGACAGCCTACAGAGTGGCCCCATGGCAGTCTGACAACCAATCAGAATACAAGCTCAAATTCAAAAGCCCAGACAGGGCATAAAACCCAGGCACTCTCAGTATCTCTTCCCCTTTTCCCCCTCAAACCACGTGGTCCTGTCCATCATCAATAAACTTTCTTTCAAGCAACTTCCATGAATCCAGTGTCTTTTTCCACACTTTTTCCACGGAACTGAACCCGGATGGACATTTCTTCCAACAGATCTTTCCTAGATGCATCTGATTCATTAGAAAAGGAATGCTGAACTGAACAGGACCAGGAGGCTTGCTCTAATGTTCTTAAGGAAATGGCCAAAGAAATTGGACTGATTTTCTTCTGACTGTATCTTCCCCAAGTATAATTTCAAATATGGTAGTAAGTTTTGTTTTTCTATAGATATCATTTTTCTTCAACACCTGAGTTAAAGATCAAAGCAAAGCTGCTTTATCAGAGTCTTGATTCACAAGGCTGCTTGCTTGAAATCAAGGAGAAAGACTTGGGAGATGACAGGCACCAAGGCAGAGGGAGTCCTAGGTAAATACTGCCATTTTTAATGGAAATACTACCACTCTGCTAAAAGCCTTGGAAACTATAGAATGCTTTAAAATGATGTCATGATCTAAGGGTTTTAGTCTAGAAATAGAGATGCCGTTCCTAGTCAATTACTTGGGAGAATTTTATACACTACCAGCCTTGTTTCAGCCACTTCACAAAGCATCTCTTGAAAAGGAAAACAAGTTGGTCTTTGTAAATAAAAGTTCATGCAATTGCATAATGAAGCCATTTTCTAAATCGGTACTGAATGAATTTTTTTTTCAGCGAACAGATTTGATGAGAAGAAATGGGAGGGAAGGAGAATCTAATAAAGAGTGCTAAGATGCCCATTTTCTAGCAAAGATCCTTCCTCTAGGACTTCTGGGGTACCTGATTTCATCTTGAAGTTTCAAATGACAAAAAGAAAATCATATCTCCCTATCATCCCTCTGGCTGTGGGTCTACCAGCCTACCCAATTCTCCATGCCTGTGATACTTTGAAAGTTATCCTGTAAGTTAGCTATCATCAGCAAGGTCTTATTAAGTCTCGAGTAGGGGATGTAAGAGGAAGCGTGGGGAGGTCTGACTTGAATGCTGCGTGGGTGGCTCTCAAGCTGGAAGGGGAAAGGGGAATGACGATCCTGAAAAAGTTGGCGGAAGGCAGAGTTTTGAATCCAGACTCAGCCTGTATCCTGACTGAGGGGAGATAAGGTGGCAGTGCAGCTCGGGCTGCTTTCCTGGAATACAATCTGCATTTTGACACTCTCTGCTAAGCACTGCCCATCTGTATGTTATTCAGCCAGAGCCTCCAGGGAGAAAGAGGAACTCCAGACTCCGACAGCCAGTGAGAAAGAAAGCAAAAGGCACTCTTCTGAGAAGGAATTGTTGCAAATTGACTTAGAAGTCCCACATCTGGAAGCTGATACTTAAAATAACCGAGGCGCCACTCAAGCAAGTGGGCCGGGAGGCAATTAAAGCAGAAGCAAAAAAAGCAAGAAGCTGAAAGATCTCTGCTGAATGTGAGGGGAGGAGATGGCTTTGATCTTGGCCTGGACCCTGCTTTTTCCTATATTTTCCTTTCTGGGATGTTTCTCCTTATGCTCAGCTTCAGCGGAGGACAACGCTTTTCATTTTGACACTGAAGAGAGCTCAGCCCATGGTAGCCAAGACAATAGCCTTCTCAGAGGGCAGCAGCAAGCTGTAGATTTTGCAAGCTGGTCGCATTTTGCTGAGGTATAGTCACTCTCCTGTCTGTTGACCTTTCTCCTCCTTTGTATGCTTTCTCTCATATTTGTATAAGATTTCAAACAGATAATACAAATGCCCTCCACTTGAAAGCAGAAGTGTGGGACTAGGAAGACTGTAAAGGTTTTTTAAATGCTGCTAGAAAAGATTCCCTTTCAAATTCCAAAGTGCATCTCCTGGTGCAGTACTACAAATTCAAGTTAGCTTACTTGGCTTTTCATGAAAAAACAATAACTTGGCCTACCAAAGAGTTTCAAGTAAACTAACTTATAGTACCACCTTCCCTTTGAAAGAAATGTTTGTACTTGTGTTGAGATTTTAAGGCCTCTGGAATTTGAGGAAGATTTGAGGAAAGAGTAATTGGTTTGTCAGGAAAGAGAAAAATGGGTTAAATAACAAAATCTGGTGATTTCACTGTGTTTGACATGAAGAATTGGTCTAGTTGCATGAATATACAGTTCATCCCATTCATTTCAGTGTGAAAACACAGCCCCATGATCCTACACTAATTTGTGAGTCAATGGACATTTAAAATTTATTATACTGTTTAATTGGGAAATATGTATTCTTATGAGAAAATATCTGTTTTCCTTGTTTTAACTTGGGCATTTGATGATTGCCATAATAATCTTGTTTTCCCCAGACAAAACCTTTATTACGGTTGGTATCACCATGTGATTAACCTTCCAAAATTCCCTTAGAAACAAGGGTTCCAGTTTTGTACATAGAATACTCGTCAATGCCCCAATTTTACACTATGGTATAAAAGAAAGGACTTTGCACATGAAAAGGATGTGAGTACAGGAATGCATGCTCCTTAAATACAAATTAAGAACACCAATGAAAATAAAGCTTTGTATTAAGGTTCTGTGATTGTATCACATGGGTCTATTCTCCCAGTTTGGAAGTATAATGTCTGAAGTAGTTATAGGTCCTACTGAGTAGAATTCAAAACTGTAGTATGGTACAGAACCTTAGCCTATAGACTTTTTGTTACATCTAGAGGAATGTGTGCAACCTCATCAAAACTTCACTTGCTTGTTTGGAAGTTATTGCCACAGAGTTCAGGACTTATGTCATAGCATTTGTGTTCTAAGTAAAAGACTGTAACTCAAACTTTAGAAAATAAATTCCTGAAGACCATCTGCCACTGAATGTTCTTCTACCTATAAGAAAATAAAGACAGCAGTGTACTTTAATATATTTACTCAAGATGTAAAATATATGAGATAATGATAATGCAGTAGGTTTTATTTCTATCTTGAATACTTGTCATTGATTGGTTTTGGTTTAAGTATAATTCACAGCTCAGGTGGGAGGGGGAAACACAACTTGACTTGGGTGGGAGAAACTATATCCTGTAAAAGTGATATTATGTAGGAGGAAAATTAAGACAGAGAGGTCATGGGAAAGAAAAGATTTTTGGACAATAACCTAGAAAGTGTGCAGAGCTTAGCCCAGCATGAGTTCCCAGGATTGAAGCATTGCTTCATTAAGTAGTACTACTAAATTTAACCAATAAATGTGTAGCAGATTTTAAAGTGAACATTCTGGTTTGCAGCTCAACTTTTAGTGAACCAGTATTTAGCAAATAGAGAATTTATAAAAAATATATTGTTGTTGTCGTCGTTGTCGTTGTAGTATTCTTCCACAGTTTGAATGAATAAGAAATTCTTGTGAAATCCTCAATACTCATGTTCAGGAGGGAAAAAAACAGACAAGTAGTTGGAACTCCTACTTTTAAGACATTATTAAATTTAAGCATTGCTATAAGTATCACTCCCACCCCATCCCCAATGCTGGATGCAAATTTCATACGTTTGTTAGTATTTGCCAATAGCCATTGAAAGTTGGATACCTTATTCTTTATTGAATAAAGTATCTGCGTTGGATTAATGATGTTTGCAATATATACCGTAATAGCTCAAAGTTATGCCTTATCATAAAAAAGTATATTTATTTATTTCATTTCATTTCATTTTTTCATTTTATTAGGATTTATAGGCCGCCCTTTTCCCTGAGGGGACTCAGGGCGGCTTACAATCGCAGGGAAGGGGGTGCAATACAAAAACAAACAATATGTGAACAAAATAAAATGATAAGACACAACTTGCATTCAACAGTCAACACTCGGGCGGGTAAATTGGGAACCTATCCCCAGGCCTGATGGGATAGCCAGGTCTTAAGGGCTATGCGGAAGGTCTGGACGGTGGTGAGGGTGCGAATCTCGACGGGGAGGTCGTTCCACAGGGTCGGAGCTGCAACATTTATTCATTTTCATTCTGCCTTTCTGCTCTGGCAAGCATTAATAAAAGAATACTCATAAGAGAATATATGGGACAGTGACTCAACCAACAATCAAAGGCCAAAACGTATGTTTAACTTCTTTCTTCCAGGATCACTAGATTTACTGCTTGATGGGCTGGGTGAGGTAGAACTAGAAAGACCTGAACATCTTAGCTCACAAATATCCCCTAAATGGATGCATAAGATTAATCTGGGTTTCCCAACCCTGCACATTTTTACATTGGGTTAGGCTACACCACAAATGTTTACTTTTAAGGAACTGCAGCCAAGCAAATATTTTTCTGCCAACATCAGGCATTGCTTTAGTTGGAAATTAAATCTGGGTCAAGTTAATATCCACAGCTCTGTTCAGCATAGGCAAGCCCTTAATATTATACATAAGGAAGAATAAAGATGCAGTCTAAGCAGAAGGAATTATTGTTCCAATAGGGAATTTTAAGCATACATGTTTCTCCAGGAAATTCAGTGGGAATTTGGTTCTAATATGTGTTTCTAATTATTATTAACTATATACAATACGTGATCCTATTGACGTTTAACATATATAGTAATGTCTTCACAAAGCATACTGGGCACAGAAACATTTCTGTGATCATTTTTAGATTATTATTGTTTTCTTATTTAGGTGCCTTTAAGTCAGTCTTGACTCATGGCAATTACACGAAGAAATCTCTGAAGTTTTCTGTTACCTTTTTAGAAATATCTTGCCATTGCCTTCTTTCTCAGGCTAATAGGGAATGACTGGCACTGCTGGCCTTTTACCTAAGGAAGAATTAGAACTCACTGTCTTTTGAGTTCCAGCCCAATGCTCTCCATTTGAATTTATAGTACAAATTTTATTCAAGACTTTGGTTGAATGACTTAGAAAGCATTATGATGCCCAGCTGATGTATATCCTTACCAATTATTAGCCCCAATGCAAGGCAATTGTCAATTGCAGAATGACAGGACATTTGGGAGTCCTCCTGAACTGATAACTCCTGCTCAAAGGGAAGGTGGCAACTTTGATCAAGCGGGGATTTGCACAGCTCCATCTTTGCACCAGTACAAGAGTTGTATGGCTTTGTAGATAAAGAAGCCTTTCAAACAGGCACTTCTGCCCTAGTTACTTTGATGCTTGACTACTTGCAATGTGCTCTACATGGGGCTGCCCTTGAAAACTAACCTGAAGCTTCAACTGGTCTAGAAAAGTGGTCCGGAAAACAGTGCACAGGGATGATGCCCCCCTAATATTTCTGCTCTGCAAGCTGCGCTGGTTGCTAGTCTTCTTCTGGATGCAATTCAAAGTTCTAGTTATTACCTATAAAGCCCTACATGGCATAGAGCCAGGTTACTCGGGGGACTGACTGTTTCCCAAAGTTTCTGCCTGTTGTAGAGGCTGTTCTTTAGAATTAGAATCCATGTGGCCCTAACCCTCAATAGCATTTAGTAAAGCTTGAAGACTTGGTTATTCTTGCAGGCCTTGGATTAAGATGGGTCCGTTGTTGGATGATCTTTCTTATTTTTCTTTATGTCTGTATATAGATATCCCATCTAGTTTTGATTTGTGTTGGATTTTTTATGGTAATATATTATGAGCTACTCAGAGTTATATATTTAGCATATTTGTGTAGTTTTTGAAATTATTCCTTAGTTTCATTATCTGATTGGTTCTGAATCATTTCCCCTGGATTATCCCTTGGCCCTGACTTGCTCCCTTTCATCCTTGTTCTTCATCCCTAATAACCTGGTAAAACTATTGGATGAGCTAGCATCAATAGGTAAATAAAGCTTATCCTACACCTTCATGAACTAACTATAATTAGTTTACCAGTAGATTATCCAATGATGATGATGATGTTATCCATTCAGCTGTGTCCATCTCTTGGTGATTCTATGAGCCAAGACTCTTCACATCTTCTGATTTTACCAGGTTATTA